TCCAGCTAATATAGGAATCTTTTTAAGTATTGTCATAACAAAAAAAAAAACTGAAGAAAAAGCAAAGACGAAAATGAGAATGTGAGGAACGAAGCCAATATCAGTTGGCTTTTGAAGGGAATCACTAAAAAAAATGTAAAATACAAAACAAACGATAAAAAATGATGGTATATTCCAATACAAATGAAAGAGGATGAACAAGACAAAAGACCACCACCTCAACTTGTCAGACTGGAATGATAAATCACGACTAACTTCACAGTTCGTACAGCATGAGAGAGGTACAAAATAATAGTACATTACCATATCTCATTGTCCTAACAGCCCCCAGAAGCCAAAATAAAAATAAAGACATGGAAGAAATGTTTATACCTTTATTGGTTCATCTTTCAATCCTTCTCTCCTTCAATTTTCTCTTTCAAAATTTCGTCCCAATTTTTCTGTCTCCTCTCTTCAAAATCCTCTCTCCATCATCCGTCACTCGCCGCCTCCTGTCCACTTTTATGGCGTCAACTAAAATGTTTTCTTTTGATGATAAAATCAATCATAATCATATCAAATTAAATCATTAATAATTTTTATTTAACTTTTTTCTTAATTATTTTAGATTTTTAAATTTCCCCTCAATTAAAACAAATTTCAATCAAGATGTAATTATCTGAAATTAAAATTTAATTAATTTGATTTGTTAAATTTAATGGAAATATAATTGAGGGGATTTGGAGTTAATAAAAAAGAAAATATTATTATTTTTAAATCAGAAAAACCCTTTTTATTTCTTTATTTTTATTTATTTTATTCATTGTATTTTTATTAATTTACAATTAGAAGCTCAGATAAAATATGGTGTTTACATCCTCACTATTTCTTGGTATTTTATTTTGGTATATTTAATATTTTAACTTCAGCATAATTAACTCGAACTTAAATTTCCAGTGGAATTTTCTTTCTTATGTCAGTGAACCGATTAGATAATTATTTTTTTAATTCATTATTACTTTTACATGTTAGTCGAGTTTAATAAAATTATTTTTGTAAGTCAATTTGTTATTTTAACTTGAAGCCCAACTAAACTTGAATTTTGGTTTTAAATCAATACAGCCATATTTTCACAAAATAAGTTTATAGATCTTTTGTCTAACAGATATGTTATCTTAAATTCGGTAAACCGGCCAAGAATAAGATCTCAAACCAATTATGTTTATATATTTAAGTTTATATGATAATAATTATTATTTTTCACAATGATAATTAAAATTTTCTGTAATCTTCTCAGTCAACTATAACGATTTAAATTACAAGACATTTAAGGAAGAGATGTAAATGAATCCATTATTTGAGGGTGTAAAATGCACCTAAAAAAAGTTGAGGGCCAGATTATTGTTTTAAGAATCAAACGATTGGACTGAAGTTGAGTTGCCAGAGTTAAAAATTAAAGTTGAACTAAAATCCTAAATATTTTTTTAAAGAAAAAATTGGATGAGTCTAAACTTGGTATAAAAAAGGCTAAATATATTTTTAAAAACAAAAAAATTCAAAAATTAGATTCTACTAAAAACCTACTTCATTTTTAGACTCTTTATATATATATATATATATATATAATATGATTTGGGACCATCTTTCTTGAAAGATGTTGATAGTTATAAATATAAATGCAGATACTTTTGAGCCTATTCATAATTGATTTAACTAAGATTTACTAATATTTGACAAGTTAAAAAATTACAATGTGTAATCTTGTTGATTTATGATTATGTTGTGTTATTTTATTAATAACTAGAAATATTGTGTATTTATTTCTTACACAAACACATTTGATATTATTTTTTATTTAATTATTACATTAATGGGGCTAGACTATCTAATAATTGGGTAGACTAAAAAAACCAAGATTCACTTACCTTTTTAGTTTAATATTAGGTCCGAGCTTTAAAACATTGGGACAAATAAATTAATGCTTTAACATTAATTTAAATTCAAATCATTTAATTTGGCCTAAGAGTCCACTGTTTACAAGGTCATCAAATCAAATAACTTGGCTTCTTCTATTTGTTGTTGTTGTTGTGAAGTATTATTGTTACACACACATATATGGAAAAATATAACAATTAGTCCCCATACTTTGATTATATTTTGTTTTTAGTCTCTATATATAGTTTCATTTCCTTGTTGTTTGTCCCTTTAATTTGATCTGCATGCAACATTAGTCCTTATAAATTTAAAAATGCAAGCAACATTAGTCCTTATAAATTTAAAAATGCACATAAGCGCTATGAACTAGCACCAACAAAGTTAACCTTATTGACATGTATTTGACTTTGTTAATGTCAAGTCCCGAAAATAAAGGATGACCAACATGAGTATGAATCATATCATGCATTCCCAAAGCCTTAAATAAAAAAAAAATCTTTCCAATTCCAAAGCATAATTAAAGTTATATTGAAATTATGATATTTTTAATACCATTCATTATAACAAAAGCTTCATTATTTTGTAGGAATTTTGACAGAAGCTCCCTTATAAATAGGATGTCCCAAAATCTCTACAATGAAAAATATTATAATATGCATTCGATAATTTGGAGCTACACTCCCTAGCAACAAACAGTCAATATAATAAAATAAAACCAGGATCTATTTATAATTAACATGGAACACCTAAAATAGAAGATCAAAATAACACATCATTGAGTCTTTACATCAAAAGAAAAGACGTTTCCAAAAATAAATATTCATCCAACATAGTTTGCAAGCCCCTCAATGATCGACAGGAGGTCTAGCGTTAGTTAATAAATTTGAGATCAAAATATTTTTCAGTGAATAACATCCCTAAAGATAGAATTTAAAAGAGCAAAATAATAAACTTACCATTATATGAAATAATTGAAAGGAAAATAATTCAGTATAATAACTCACAAAATCTAGAGATATCAATTATAATAATAAAACGTGAATGAATTAAAATTACTTTTAATATGCTAAAGGAGAACAATTTATTCATATTTGTATAGAAGTAGCAAACTTACTAACTGTAAATATTAAAAATTCAAATATACTAGTTGAGAACAATCAATATAATATAACCATAAATTAAGAAATTCCATATAGCTTCCAAAATACTAAACCATTAAATTTACAATGACAAAACAGCCTTAACGCTTTGCTCTTGTAAAATAAAATAGATTAAGTAAATAAATAAAAATAATATCCTTTATTAAATAAAATTAATGAAGTGTGTTTTCACAAATAAATTAAAAGTTAATATTTTAAGGACTTTGAAGAACAAGTAAAAAATGTGGACATACAGTCTACGAGAGTAAAATAACCAAACATGGCTTATGCCATAAAAACAAACATGAACACACAGTCCATGAGGGTAAGTAACCAAATGTAGCATAAGCTATGAAACAAATATAGACACACAGTCCATGAGGGTAATGCTAACTAAACATGGCTTAAAGCCATGAAAACAAATGCAGGTATGAGACTAATGAATAACAGACATAAGAATAGAGCTCATGAAAATCAAACTAGCTATTCATTAACCAAGGCTCACTAAGGGCTAACAAAACTGTTATTAGCGATAGTGTTCTGCTTAAAGTTTTCTTAAAATTACTTTTCAAACATGCGAGAAAATAGTCGTTTCTGAAATATGGTTTTCATTCTCAATACTAAACTCTCATGAATTATCTTAAGCTTCAATTTAATGCTTGTCATAATAAAATTTTATAAATAATGTCCATTTTTGCATTTGTTGAGTGGCCAAAAATTTCAAGAATTAAATAATTAAAAAAAATTACCTTCATCAACCTTAAAAGTATATCTCTTAAGAAAAATACTAACACAAATAGTAATTTAATTATCCCTTAACATTATTCTATAATTTCTAAAAAAATAGATAAATTTAATTAACAAAATTACAAATATATATCATATTTGTTAATAAGAACAGTATACATAAAAATATAATGATTTCAATGAAAGACTTTTATTGATAAATTAATTAGGGTGTCATTCACTTTTCTATTAAATTCCAAAACTCAATGATTTTTTTCCCCAATTCTTATCAAGGTACTCATCTTCCACACATCCTCAGTTAAACCAACACGCATGAACAAAGGGGGGAAGAGAAGGTTGCGCACTCATCCATACAATCACACTAGCAGCGAAGCATAAAGAGTCTCAACAAGTTGGAATAGAGTAGAAGAAAGAAAACAAAAGCCACCAGTTGCTGGATTAATGTTGGACGGAGCTACGACAAACACGCCAGCGAAGGTTATGAGCGGAAAGGGAGGAGAAGGTGCAGTAGAAGAATCCAACAATGGCTAGATCAGAGCTCTCTCTCTCTCTCTCTCTCTCTCTCTCTCTCTCTCTCTCTCTCTCTCTCTCGGGTCTCTAGAAAAATTGAAGAACAAGAGGAAAATATATCATATTTGGAAGAAGGGTAGTTTGGTAATTTCACATCATAGAAAGGCAAATATAATTCTCCCTTTGGCTTCCACCAAATTCAAACTTGAGACCTATTAGGAGGATACTTGCACAGCCACCACTACACCAGCGTTCCTTCTTGTCATATTTGTCTTAAGAATTAATATATTTACAATCAATATACATTATTATATATTTAATTTTTACTTAAAATACCTGGGTTGTTATAGTTAACCCCTTTGTTGATATTTGCTTAATCTCACATTCATCTTTCACATTCTATTAAAGCCAAATATAAATGAAATCTTTTTCAATTTTCTATTTACTTTTTATTTTTAATCATACCTAGTTAGCAAAGGGGTTAATTACATTCGTTAATCCCATCTCATGGTCTTTATTTATATTTTTAAAATTTTAAAATTATAGGGATTATTGTTGCAAGTTGATCAAATTGAAGGGACAAGAAACAACAAAATAAAACTATAGGGATTAAACACAAAACACAATCAAAATACAAGGACCTATTATTGTATTTTCCCTATTTATTATTAGTCTATGATATCATAGATGTATAAGGAAATTAACATATGCATTCGTGGTAGTGGATATACAAGGAAAATAAAAATGCAATTGCAGACATAGCCAGGATATATAGATAGGTAAATACAAACTGGAATGAGAATGGATAATTATACATGTATTGATTCTCATGCAGAAAGCCCCATATACTATTGACGATGATCAAACAAGAGGGGTTGGCGATGGAGGAATTGGGATATGTTTTAGCCCTTCCAACATCAGTATCACATTCTTCATTGAAGGACGTAAAGATAGGTCCTTCTGAACACACCACAATGCCACCTTCACCATTCTTTCCATTGTGTTCCATTCCACATCTTCATCTACTACTAGTTTACTCAATTCCCCTCTCACAAAGCAATTATATGCCCAACTTGAAAGCATTATCTCCTCAGTGGAGGAAGCCTTTACATCTGTATTCCTTCTGCAACAGATGATCTCTAGCAGCACCATACCATAACTATAGATGTCAACTTTTACTGATGTCGTAGATGCATCTTTCTGCCATTCAGGTGCCATGTAACCACTTGTTATCTCATTTCTAGTAGTAAAACTTGAATGTTCTGGCATTATTAGCCTTGCAAGTCCAAAATCGGATAATTTTGCAGTCCACATTTCATCCATAAGTATATTCTGGGGCTTAATGTTGCAATGGACAATACAAACTTCACACTCCTCATGGAGATACAAAATGGCTCTTGCTACATCCAATGCAATCTTGACTCTCTGTCTCCATGACAACCGCATCTCGGCTTTGAATAAAAAATCTGCTAATGACCCGTTGCTCATGTATTGGTATACAAGAAGCTTTTTTGAACCATCAATGCAATAACCAATGAGCTGAACAAGATTTCTATGATGAGTTCGGGCAATTGCAGTTATTTCAGCTTGAAATTCCCTCTCTCCTTCATCAACAACTACATCTAGTTTCTTCACAGCAATGCTTCTGTTACATCCACATATTGCACCCTTATAAACCACTCCAAAAGATCCTCTGCCAACCTCCTCTTTGAAGTTTCCTGTTGAGTTCACCAATTCATCAAAGGAAAATGTTCGTAAAGTACAATCCTCAGTAAACCTCAAGCTAGCACTTTCAGAAAGCTTTGTGTATGAATAGACTTGACGCCTGTAGAAGAAGAAAATAAACGCCCCAAACACTAAGCAAATGAATGAAATGGAACCTAAAGTTAGGAGTAGAGTTAAAATAAGACTTTTCTTGTCATCAATGCGGATTCCTGGCTTCCTTTCAAATGAGGGGGGGGGGGAGGCGTCTTGAAGATGGCAGTGCTCGAAGAGTTCTGAACATGTCTTCCAAATAGAAGCGGGAGATTAAATTTCTCACAGCTGCCATTTTTATATCTCGCCGCCCCACAATTACAATCTTCCAGGCAAGACTTTCCACAAGCTTCACGTTCTAATGGTATAACCAAATATGGATTAGTGCGCCATTCCAATTTTAGCGTGTAATTAACGTTGTAGAGCATCTCTGGATCTGCACTGGTTTCACACACATCATTGTTGATCTGTTTGCAGTCTAAGAACATGTCACTACTACCTTTGAACTGCTTGAACCCAGGATAACACTGACATACAGATCTGTTTCTGTGGTGGAGCAATAACTATTGAAGCCACAAAAACCATTTACTTCACATTGATCAGATAAAGCCTCCCACATAACTTGTATTGTTGGGCGAGTGTTGTTCTCAAATTGGTGGACATACGTTCTAAAATTCCCATCTACATCAAGTGTTGCTCGATAGACTGAGGTTGTGCTCTTTCCAAGATAGGTGCCATTGGCCAGAACATAAATGGAAGAAACATTCTCACCACCCCCCATTTCAAAAATCCTGTAACATTCAAAACTAAGTGTTGGGTAATAGGCGAAATCGTTAGGAAGATGTGTGGACCAGTAAACATAAGCATCCGCTGATGAGTCTGTTTCTGTTGATCTATTCAGAGGGTAGGCAAAAAGATTTCCGAGTTCATCGTCGCTCTGAGAGAGAGAGAAATATCCACTTGAGTGGTCTGAATTGGACAAAGCAGAGACCAGAGGATTAAAATCATTGGAAAAACTCTGACCCCCTAATATGGTGTGGGTAGGGAAATCAAAGCTTTGCCAGATAACACTATGACTTCCATTGTAAAGCACGAAATTCCCAGAATCAAGCATAGATGCTGAAGTTGCAAGCTCTAACAGGGCATTGAGGTTCACATCATCTTTCTTGCTTCGAAGCAGCACCAAACCATCTTTGGTTAATTTAATTATGGAATCAGAGGACACAGGTGGATCATCACGGTTAGCTGTCCAAACGATGGTGTTTTGAGGTTCGCCCTTAAGCCATATCCCAACGGCAAAGCCGTTACCTTTTGGATAGAAGCCGAAGGTAAAGAGACCAGAGGCTGACACCCACCAAGTAGAGTTTCTTGGAGAGATCGATGAGCCCAATCTTATGACGGTGGAATGATTTTGTTGAGCTGTAACTTGGTTTGCAAATAGCACTGCAAACAAGAAGAGAGTCATGGAAGCCATGTGAATATACATTATGGTCAAGTTGCGAGAAGGAATCAGAGACGAAAGTAGATGGATGGATTACAACTCAGAAGAGAAACAAATGAAAATGGTTGGTTCCTCCTGGAAATTGATCTTCGTTGGTAATAAAAAAATAAAAAAGCAAGATATTGACGTCACTGTAGGATATAGTGAAGGCTTGACTTGCTCCATACGTTGACGCGGGTGCTTCTGATTGGAATAGTCAAGATAAATTAAAATTATGAAATAAAAACTGCGCCATTTTCGCGTAAATTAAATTCGTGCAAAGAAAGATGAATTAAAAATGGGTAGAGTAGGGGTCCCACCAAGCAGAATGAACAAAGATAAAAAATGGGAAGAAACAGAATGAGAAATTTGCGAATCAAATACAAAAATAGGACAATTAAACGAGTGTCTATTAATCAGTATTTACCAACATCATCCAATATTTCCGATATTAATATTACGTGCGTGTTATAGGACAATTAAACGAGTGTCTATTAATCAGTATTTATCAATATCATCCAATATTTCCAATCTTAATAGTAAGAGCGTGTTTAGTTTTCGGTTAACTAAAAATCAGTTTTTCAAAAGTTGATTTAACAAAAGTTTTAATTTAACAAAAATCAGTTATTGTAATGAAATTTATATTTGAATACATTCTTCAAAAATCAACTTAATAAACTAAAAATTGTTTGAATTATATATAATAAAATGTGCTCTTAAATGTATAGTTATCAAAAAGAAGATTAATTTATAATGATTTATAATTTTTGTTATACAATATATAAATTAGAAAGTTTCTAAAAATATGATAGAAATTTTAAATAACTTAAATTTGATTTGTTAAATAAAAATTTGATACGCTAAATATTAAGTTAAGAAGTAATGTTTTCTGCATATCAAGGGCAAATTTGAGAGTTGCTTAATATTTTATTGCATTGATTAATTTTTTAATCTAATCTAATAATACCAACATATGAATAAAAAAAACTGCGTGAATACTTATTAATATAATTTTTGTTTAAAAAAAAAGTATTATCCATAGACAGATCAATTGGAAATCGTCTGAAAGATGGTTTGGTTGGAGATAATAATCTCTCTTCCGGGATCTTCCATCCCTGAAACATTTCAGCCTATATTTTCATAAACTTTGAAAAGGTTGAACAAAGATGGATAAAAAAAGAAAGGGGAAGGAGAGAAACATGAGAGGGAAAGGGGTAGTATGGTAATAAAAAGCCTGTATACATTTATTTCATCATTTAATACCTAAACCCAAATGTAAGTTCCAAAAGTTAGCTAGCTTTTGAAATGTTGAAAGTTGTTTGAATATATTTTAATAGGAGAAATGAACTTTCTGAATGTATTTTTATAGAAGTGGCTGAATGTATATTTTGACAATGTGACTTTGTGTGTGTTTAGTTTTTAGTTGCAAAAGTCATTTGCTGAAAATTTATTTAGCAAAAATTAGTTATTATAATGAAACAAGCTGGGTGGTTTATTGGAGAAAAGCTAAAGGAGTTATTTGTGACCGTAAGGTGCCTAATAAACTTAAAGGAAAGTTTTATCGTACTGCTATCAGACCGGCAATGTTATATAGTAGTGAATGCTGGGCTCTAACGGGACAGCAAGAGCATGAAGTTAGAGTAGCAGAGATGAGAATGTTACGATGGATGTGCGGACATACACGTAAAATAAAATTCGAAATGAGCACATATGTGAAAAAGTAAGGGTGGCACCTATTGAGGAAAAAATGGTAGAAATCGGTTGAGATGGTTTGGGCATGTACAAAGAAGACCAAGGGAGGCACCAGTGAGAAGAGTGGAACATATAACTTTGAGTCCGATTAAGAGAGGTAGAGGAAGGCCTAAGAGAACACTCTTGGAAGTTGTTGAACGTGATCTATTAATTAATAATATTTCTAAAAGCTTAATAAATGATAAAGCACAATGGCGTCTTGCAATCCATGTAGCCGACCCCACGTAGTGGGATAAAGGCTTGTTGTTGTTGTTGTTGTTGTTGTAATGAAATCTGTGTTTGGATATATTCTTTCAAAAATTAGTTTGATAAACTGAAAGTTATTTGGATTAATGATAATTTATGTTTTTAAAATGTATTTTTAAATATACAATAACTAAAAGGATATTGATTTATGATAATTTATAATTTTTGATACAAATGTAATATATTAGAAATTTTTAAAAAATGTAAAAAAAAAATAAATAAATAACATAAAATTTAATATGTTAAATAATAAGAATAAAAAATATAAAATTTAATATTAGAAAAAATTATGTAATGTATGAACATATTAAATTTTATGTTTATGTAAAACATTATGTAGGTACAAATTCTGTGCGAACTTGTGTCTCAACTTTGTCTAAAAAAATTACATTAAAAATTATGTAATTTATATAATATTTCAAATTATGTAATTTGGATGAGAGATTATGAGAGAACCAGAGGAGGAGAGAAGTGAAATGCCTGAACTTTTGTGCAAATGAATATTTGGAATAATAATGATATCATGCTCATTTATAAAAGTCAGTACAAATTTTATTCTTCTCATATTGCTCTCAACTCTCATGTAATTTGAAATCCATCTAAAAATAAAATTTTCTAATCTACTCATATCTCAACCCACATTTAAAAACTTATTTTGCCCACTTAAAAATTACCCAAACCAACTATAACATTTAAAAAGTTGTTGTTTCAACTTTTCAAATGTTAAATGTTGTTTTTTCAAAGTCTCAATTGAAAAAAAAGTTATGAAATATTTAAAATAGAATTGACTGCTCAAGCATTGGTATTTGGAAGTTTACTTCTATGACAGGATTGAAATGTGACGAGCAATGAATTTGAACCATTTAAATTTTAATTTAAATGATCAAGATTAAAGTATTATTTTATTTTATTTATTAAAATAAAAATTTATAAATTTATAAAATAATTTTAATAGTTATCTAGATTTAATTTGGGGGTCCATTTAATATTAAAGTTTTTATAAATTGTTATATTTAACTATAGATGTACTCTGCATAGTTCAGATTTAATTGAGTGTTAATTTGAAATGTGTAGAGTACATTTGGATTGTCAATATATAGCAATTACAAAAATTTTAATGTTAAATTGGTCCCTTTAAATTAAATCTAGACTAAATTAAAAATAAAAAATTATTTTATAATTTTTCTAAATTTTTTTTTAATAAATATAAAATAAAAATATATAATAATACTTTAAATTTGAATTATTTAAATTAAAATTTAGATGATTTAAATCTTATCATAGTGATACATACTATAGTACTCATCACTTTGATGACCACGAAGAACCCTCTATAACAAAGCTTTGAAACTTACAACATCTTTCTTTCGCTCTAATTTTAAGTAAAGGTGCATTTTTTTCCTTGAAGTATTTTCTGAGGAACACCCAACATTCTAACATTTTTATTAGAGTAATTTTGCTCTTAAAGTTATTAAAAGAAACATTTTTGTCATTTTTATCAAATTTTTAACGTTGACCTCAAACATTGACTATTAAAAAATTTCACGAATAGGACAAAAATGCTTCGTTTTAATAATTTTAAGGACAAAACTGCTCCAAAAAAAATATTGGGGTGTTGTATACTCCTCAAAAAATACTTCAACGGTAAAAATACACCTTTACCTTACTTTTAATTCATTGGACCCATATTTACTTGTTGACTCGAGTACTTATGCCCAAAATTTTGGGATAACTTATCCATTTTCCATAAAGGATGCAAAACTTTTGCCACTACGTGTTTTTTTTTTCCACAGAAAAATATTTGTATTTATCTTTAGAGGAAGATTTAGATACTTAATTTTATATATTTAAACATATATACTTTTATCCAATTAAATCAAGACAATTAAATTTTAATATATTAATAATATTAATATGAAGAATTTTTTATAGATTTAATAAATAATCTATAAAAATCATATGTCATGATATAATATAAAGGTTAAATATATATTTTTTTTTCTTAATTTAATACATCAATTGGTATGTAACAATTGATATAATTAATTTTTTGAAATAATAGCCGTAAATAAATTAGTAATGCTTTGATAGGCTGGGAAGGGGACAATGAAATTTTTAGTCTCTCTAGTTTGCCTCAATTATGGATTTTGTTCCTCAAGCTTAATTTGTATCATTTTGGTCCTTTATGTCGAGTGTACATGACATTTTCATGTTTCACAATTAAAAAAGTATCAACCCGACCCATCGTATGTCATTAGTGCAAAGATGTGAAATTATGTGAAAAATCAGACATATAGGTATGAACTAGAGAGAATTATGGATGTGAAAGAGAAACAATGAAAAACAAGAAGATTCGTCTAGCGAAGGTTATGTGGAAGGGTAACTGTAATGTTCGCCTTGACATTATCAGGATAACACTTTCACACGCCGTTGTGATAACCAAATTTAATTAAAATCCCAAGTAAAAGTTATCACAACCCAAGGGTAATTTATATAAAACATTGAGATTCCAAGAAAACCTTTTTTGAAAAGTTTTTTGAACTCAAACTATAGTTTAAAAAGTCATACACAATAATGGAAGCATGGAAACCAATCAGCACTTGAAAATAAGTAGAAAAAGATTGGAATTTCTCTAGAAACTAGACCGTCCACCACAGTATAGGCCACACCCACTGTGACAGATGACACAGAGGGACGAGTCCCTCAGTAAGCATTGCACTACAGTGTGATCCTACTATCATGATAGTAAATTACTGTCATGATAGCACTTTAAACTTCCAAAGCTCGCCATTTCGCCATTTGACGTCTGATCCGAGTGATTTAAGTGTCCACATGAAGCTCTTTAAGCATTCTAACTAATGGCACTAGTCTCACACTCAAATATTAATCATTAAAAAGATGGCACCTAAATCTAAATGATTCATTTTCATCTTAAAACACATTCAAAGGTGTCCAATTCACACCACTAAATGCCATTAGCTCTGAAAATACTTTAACTAAGTCAAATGGACCACACACAACACACATGGCCAATCATATCATACAAATAACCATTCATACATGAAATGACTCCAAACATCGAATTCTCAAC